ATTTTTGCTATTTTTTTATCTGTCCGGAAAAAATATGAACGGGGGAATTTTCTTAAAAAAAAAAAACTAACTCGTCTACACTAAATATGATCTAATTGTGGGCACAATTCCACCAGGGCCTACTGAGTTTCTGATTACCTCAGACAGTCTGTCGCTTGACGAGTTCAATGATAATGAAGATAAGGATTACGACATTTAATAGGAAAAATGACAATCTGACTCCCGTGTAAATACGACAAACAGAACACATGAAATGCTACTGTAAACTGTAAACTGATTGCATGTGTGGGGTTGACGCAAGTCAACCTTTTACGTCCACGCCACAACTAAGAGCTTCGCCGCAGATCATTTAATGTCCCTTAAAAGCTCACATGATGATCTAACTAAAACATCAGTACGGTTAACATTGTAAGTTAACCCGGTCGCCCTTACATAGGTTCTAATTAAACTTTAGACCCTACTTTAACCATGTTCCCGTCATCCTATGGAACTAGAATTAAGTGCATAACAATCAGTTTAAAGTGTAGTTCAATCCATTTGCAGTCTACTCCATTTAGGGATCTCGGTAGTCTCCATTCAACATCCATCAAGTCAAATATAGTTGAGACGTTTAAAACTGGCATAGAGTTAACCATTTTAAAAATGCTAACATTGTAACAAAACGCGTGCCTTATCAGTGGTAGACGGTTGGCAAACCCACGCCATCCGTTCCTTTTTAATTAATCAGCAGATATGCAAGTTTTCTTTAAACAATCAATAACTTCGATCGTGGAGTTACAAACAGTCTTTCAAACGACTAGGTCGGTCTCTTATCGTGTTAATAGTTAACGCACATAGTGTATTGCTATTTTCCGTAAGGCGTAACTCCTATTCCATTAAGCAACAAAATCCTCCAAAGTTAAGAACAAATTCAACAAATAATTAATTAACCAATAATAAATAAATTGAGTGTTCAAAAGTGTTTTTTTTTAAAGCTTAAGGAATAGTACCGGCCTTTAACTCGTTGTCCAATGTATTGAGGGCGAACGTAAAGTTTCATTTAGGTGCAGCAGAGGTCGAAGCATTTGACACTTTGACGTTTGTAAAACGACAGCGGCGGAAGAAAATTATACCAGCTATGAGTTAGAGGTTTTCGTTGTAATAAAAGCATTAAACAACTTTATTTACTTAGCCCTCCTTTCACTATTGCCACAGATTGCCAAACTTTTACGATGACAATGTTTAAAACAGATCTTTGTGTACTAGTAGCTAGATGGGCATTATTACTAGAAGAGTTTCAATATACCATTGTACACAGATTAGGTAGACAAATGTCTCATGTAGATGCGTTAAACAAACATCCCTTGCCTTGTGCCCTATTGCCAAACGAGTGTGAAGAAGTTATAATTGTAAAGCTTAAAAAGGCACAAAGTAGTGACGAACAAATACAAAAGATTGTAAATTCTGTACATAATAGTAAATGCAATTATAAATTTAGAAAAATGACTTATTGTATAATATTGTAAATGACAAACCTTTGATTGTTCCTCCTAGTTGCATGCAATATCAGATTGTTAGACGCGCGCACTAATGTGGACATTTTGGTATTAATAAAACCGAAGCGTTAGTCTTAAGAGAATTTTGGTTTAAGAATATTCGTAAGATAGTGGAACAAGTAGTAAGTAATTGTATAAACTGTATACTAAGTGAAAGAAAGGGTGGTAAGCAAGAGGGATTTCTCAATCCGATCAATAAAGGTAGTGTTCCGTTAGATACTTTTCATGTAGACCATTTAGGCCCAATACCATCCACAAAAAAATCGTACAAGTACATCTTTGTAGTCGTAGATGCTTTTTCAAAGTTTGTATGGTTATATACGACACGCTCTACCGATACGGCCGAAGTACTAGACAAATTAAGAAAGCAGGCAGTAATCTTTGGAAATCCACGCAGAATTATTACCGATCGAGGCACGGCATTTACTTCAACTGCATTTCTGGAGTATTGCAAAGAAGAAAATATTGAAAATGTACAAATCACAACAGGCGTTCCAAGAAGTAATGGTCAAGTCGAACGGGTTAACAGGACGATTATACCATTATTAACGAAATTAGCAGCACCAAGGGCCGACGAGTGGTATAAGTACCTCACCATTGTCCAGCAATACCTGAATGCAACTCCCAGTCGTAGCACTGGTAAGACACCATTTAATTTACTGTTTGGTACACACATGCGATTAAAAGACGACCCAGAAGTTCGAAAGATAATCGAGGATGAATGGATCAAGATGTTTGAAGAGCAACGAGATCAATTAAGGGTTGAAGCGAAGACTAAAATTGCACAAGTCCAGGAGGAAAATCGGCGAAGTTTCAATAAAAAACGCAAGAAGGCCATCACGTATAAAGAAGGTGATTTAGTGGCAATAAAAAGGACTCAGTTTGGCCCTGGTCTGAAAGTACAGCCAAAATATTTCGGACCATACCAGATTATAAGGGTATTGNAATTATTATAATTATGGTAATATGGTCAGTTAAAATTTGTACAAAAACTCTGTTTCATTTTGACTCAACAATGTAAATGTTTTTATTTACTGTAGTTCTGAAGATGGTCCAAAACTTAGGAGCCGAAACGTCAAATAAAAATTGACTAAAATCCATTAGGTTGTCTGTTTTACAAAACTCGGTCATTAAGAATAACATGTGAATTTATACTCACAGCAGACGTCAAGAAAGAAGCAAAAATAAGAAAACCATTTTTTTTGGGTTAAAAATTTTAATTTCAACTTACGATACACAATAAAATTATTAATTAATAATAATATGTATTAGAACTTACTCAGTTAAATATTTCAGGCTTAGAAAGCATTACATTATTGAACTTAACTGTCCTTAATTCAAAACAGACATATTTAATTTAAATTTGCAACCAAAAATTATCCATATTAATTAAACCACGTCCTCATATCAGATCCCAATGATCATATTCCTATGTCTAGCATCAAAACACTTTTTTCTAAATACGTAAGTAAACAAATCAGCATCAACCAACTGAAAAAACCAAAGATTCTTTTTAACAGAACTTGAATGTTAAATTTTCAATAACCCACTGGTTATTTATATTAAAGTTGACATATTGCGAAACCAATATTGAAGAGATACAATAAACATTTCGATAAAAATTATTGTTGTATGTTCGCCTGTAAACTATAGTTTGTCTTCTGTTTGCTTTATGTAAAAATTATTGGCAATATCAAATGAAAAATGCACTGAGGGCATACAGCTTCTGCATAATTGATTAAAAATCTGATGAAACAACAGCTGGAAAATCGTATGTTCTAGTACAGTTGGACTCCGAACAGAAAGTTAAACAGTTTTTTTTACTTTGTTCGATATGAACGCTGATGCATAATTTAGGACAAATCTGTACACAACCTGTCACAAGTTTTACTCATGTAAAGTCGATCGCGACCTCTAATACACCGTATTCTGTTGTAAAAGGTTTTTATAACTGAATTAGTGCCGGTGCACACTTGCGACAGTTTGCCGCCGCGGGTCCGCAGCGGCACCGCAAAGTTTGCTGCACACTTGTTGGTATTTTTGCGGTTTTGTTACGGTGCCGCAAAAGTAATAAAAATATATATCTAATACAGTGTCATTCGTTTTTAAAGAAAATCAGTCAGTGCGACAAGTTGAATAGTGCAAAATGGAAGTTTTTATATATGAAAGGCGTGTAGTTTTTACGTATTTGGTGTACAAATGCGTTATTGATCGAAAAAAAAAAAACGAGACGATTTTGGGTAGATCCATATACCGATTTACGGCTTACAAGGGGCACATTTGTAACGTCGTTTTCGTATTTAAGGGAGAATCCTGACTAATTTTTCAACTACTTTCGAAGGAGTGTTGCTTCATCTGATGAATTAACAGCAAAAGTTTCTGATAGGATAAGATCGCAAAAGATACCAGATTAAGAGTCTCCATAATCCCACTAGAAATGTTTTCTCCTTGTCATCCAGCTCCAAAAATCCATCGGAAAACATTTCACAGATTATAATCCATGCAGACCTGTTTTTGACTCTTTCATGGTATAGGTATATTTCTGAGGAAATATCCCATATCTCTGGGAACCAACCTTTATGCATCAATGAATAATTCTACATCCAAATCTTCAGAAGTTCTAGTAGCAGCCATCCTTTTTTGCGTCAATTTGTCGCAAGTGTGTACCAGCCGATATACAAACGAGTACTACAAAACCGCCATAGCGGCAGCGGTGGCGCCACGGTTCCGTAGGGACCTGCGGTTCAAAACGGTCGCCATTTGGACACGCGGCCCCGCGCAGATGAATGTGCATTAACCCATTTACCTGTTAGTACTTTAAGCCGCAATTGTGGTGCCGTAGCGGCGATTGCCGCAAGTGTGCACCGGCGCTTAATTGTATGAAAAGATGCGTCCAGACTACGCAAATGAATACTTTCTCGCTTATCGTGTTGTACCAGAACTTTACTACCTACTCTCATTGTTATGATAGCATTATTTGCTGTCGCTCATTTATATTGCGCTTGTAATATTGTATTGCTCACCTTTACAGGTGAGCGGTGTACATTGGCGTAGCAAGAAATTTTTTCTAGGGTGAGAGATTATTATCAATAAATGTAAATTTATATAGGTTTAATATGTTTGATTTCTGTAACGAGCGGCATAGTCTAGAGCAGGGGTGAGCAACCTTTTAATCAACGGGCCAATTTAAATTTTAAAATTTTTTGACGGGCCGCACATAAAGTAACACTTATTAATAATTTACAGAACTTTATTTATAATAAACATTAGAATAAAAAAATATCAAATTAAAAAACAACACTTGTATGCAAGATAATCTAATACATTTATGTCTCATCAAACATTACATTAAATCATTTAAGTAGAAATGGATAAACTATACAGTTTCTGGGCCGTGAAAAACATCGACTCATCCGAGGTTTTCTTGTATTTTCACTTTTTTTTTTATTGAAGNCTGTTTTTTCGATACAAGCTGATCAATATCAACCGGAATTGATGATGTACCTACACGTACGCAGCCTTCGAATTGTGCATCACTCAGTCTTCATCGGTGGTCATTTTGATTAATTTTATGGTTGAAAATAATTGTTTGCAAACGTAAGTACTTCCGAACAGAGACATCATTTGCTTTGCATTTTTCGTCAAAAGCAGAAATTTCTCAGGGCTCACATACGATTTATAAAAAATTTGATGTTTGCTTAGAAAAATACATTTTTTAAATCGGTATCATTCTCAATGTCAATCACTTCCATTTGAAAGTCTTCGAGAACTGTATCCACATCGATATTAAATGGTGAGGTAAACATTTTCGATTAAAAGTCGATAAAATAAATTCAATTTCAGAAATGCTTGGCGGGCTGCATAAACATATTTAACGGGCCGCAAATGCGTGTTGCTCATCCCTGGTCTAGAGGTATAGACCATCGCTTAGCATTCGGGAGGACGCTGGTTCCATTCCGGGACTGTCTGCTTTAGGTAAATGTTGGGACAGTAATGTTCCATAGATAGTCTTTCATTCTCTTCTGTCTTCATTTCGTCCATCTCATCATTCCCACTTGAACCATCACCCACCCATTCGCACGATTCCCGAAAGGAGGCTACTACCTTCCGGCGTATTCAAAGCCTTTTCCAGATGAAGCAATGAGCTTTGCCCTTGCCCCTACCTATGTACGTTCATGGCGTTGTACCTTCCTTCAAAAAAATGCATAGTCACCAAGCCACCCGAAGAACGTTGCTAGATGGAATCCAAGTAGAATGGATTTATTACGTTATTGGGAATGAAAAACCCAAATAACATTATCTTGTTCAAATGGCAGGTAATTTATTATTAACAGGAAATTTGTAAAATTAAAAAGCAAAGAAAAATAAATTGTTTTGAAAATGCTTTCTTTTTTCTCACTGTTCAATCTTGATATTTTATATTATTTTCCTTCTTTTAATTTAATTAACGCGAGGGGATTTTATTTGGCTCAATTTCTTTTCTCCTTGCATTTGTTTCTTGTCCTTAACATTCCCAGCTTTTCCCATAAAATCACCTTAAAACAATAGACATTACGGTGCATTTCGCGCCTTGCGGGGAGTCCCAGTCAAAAGCGCATTCACCATCCTGGTTCGAAACGTGCGAGCTGATTATGTTAAGACTCCTACATTTTGCATACTGACCATACAGAGTGACGAACATAGTACGTCATAGTACCTTTAGTAACTGCCTGTAGTATTAGAAGCCCAGGAAAATTATTACTCCATAGTCCATACAGTCCGTTTGAATATCCTCCGTAACCATGTGTTGCCTGGCAAGGAGGTAAGTGAGCATTCAATTTCATCTCCTCCACGGTACGCAAACACTCACACGTTTTTGGCTGTATTTACTTTATAAGGAATGCGCAGTCCATTCTCTATGTCTATGGTTTTAATCTAGTAATTTTCTTCGGGAGGTTCAGTGATTTTTCACCTATTAAGAACAACTACTACTTGATAATTATCATCCTAAATTATGACGACTCCAAAAGCACTTATTAAAATTAGCAGACTAATATAGTTCTTCACCTCCATCTACAGACGCATTCTACTTTTATGGTAGACTGTTTAACTAATGAAATGGTTGAGTATACAAACCATTTCTGTGCCATTGTAATAATATACAGATTTTTTATTTAGAATTGATTCGTCTTTGCGAAATAAAGAACAAGGTTTACCTGTTATAGATGAACTAAAGAGCATCCTCATTATGACTAACCGAATGTGAATCTTACCTGAAACAAAAATTTTTGTATTACAATAACATCAACAACATAATTAAGATATTTAGATAGAACTAAAGTAGGTTTACTATATCTTCAGAATTTCAAATTAAGGCGGTAATTTTTTTCAACCACACGTGCTTGACTTCGTCAACATAATCACCAAAGAGGACGATTTTATATAATACTAACTGATATTTACCTCAAAAAGGAGATTCTTTGGGAAAAGGTAAGAGTTCATTAATAACTGTAGCTGGGCTATGGTTCAAAGTGGACTCAGTCGATAGGTCGTGGTACTAGACGTGCTACCATCTGAATGACCGTCCCGTTAATACTTTTTAAGGGTAGATCTATATTAGGATAAGGGATATTTAGGCTAAAAGAATTTACTAACCATGTACCAGGTACTAACACGTAGGAAAGTTTCCAACAGGCGCCGGAATTTGGACAAAGTATTTGTTATTTATTTTAATACATTTGAAAAAGGCTCACTACGTAATTTGCAAAAAATCCATATCCTATTTCAGAAAATATTGGGTTTCAGCATAGAAAGTGACTGAAATAGATGAAAAAGAGTATAAAGAGCGTGAAAACTACGTTTTCATGTTATCTACTCAATAGGAGCGCGAATACTTAACTTCAATAAATTTTAATTTTGAAATTTATTAAAATATTTATAAAAAAATCTTTTAAGCTCCCTCAACCGGAATATAAAATTTTCAATAGTCAAGCTAAAACATAGCAATGAAAGACATTTACTTATATAAGATGAGGGCGATCATTTATGAGGAAAAAAACTTTTGGGTGTTTCACTCCCACCAGCCACTAATGCTGGTGAATGGGCAGTTCCTCCGGACTACGCTGGAAGGTGGGGCGGAAGGCCCTCTTCAGCCTCAATTCAAAACTAGTAGGAATGGTGGTTCGGGTGAGAAAGGCAAGACGGACGAAATGAAGATAGAAGAAAATGAAAGATTATTATCTATAGAATACTACTGCCCCAGTATTTGCCTTAGTGATCCAGGGAAACCACAGAAAAACTTGAACCAAGGCAAACGAACCGGGAATCGAACCGACGTCCTCCAAATGCTAAACAACGGTTTAAACCTCTAGGCCATGCCGCTCGGTAGAGGAGGAAAGTATAATAAATTTCAATTCTTGGATTTGGAGTACTTGGAATGACATTCAATTATATTCTTCACATTTTGTGGCAAGTCGTCTTCATTTTCAGACATTTCCATGATACATTTAATGTTATATAAAAATGGTCTTTTTCAATTTTACACAAAATTGATTTTCAGAATATTCTACTACACTTATGGCATATCACTACGTGTCAACGATTGAGTTCAATTTGAACTTTCACCTAGCCACATTTACCTATGACGTTTTACTATTTACGTTTTGCACTTAAATGAAAATTAAGAAGAATAAATTTTTAGTAGTCCATGAAGAAGAGGCAATCGCTTTATGGTTTTTAAACCGTCATTCATTTTACGTTTCCAAAATGTGGAAAACAAATCCCACAGATAGCAGATAAATGAAAACGTCAAAACAAACAATATTGCTAAAATTAAAATGTTTGTAATATGACAATTGTCACAGTATGCAAATTCAAACTTTTATGATATAGGTACATCCATACATTTTGAGTATGTATGATAACTTCCATCAGATGAAATAAATTCGTAAACCCTTTTAATTTAGCAGTTTCATTTTTTCATTAGTCCCTACATTGGGAGCAAGCAGCTCGAATTAATTTTCATAGAGAAGTTAAGCTGTCTCGTCGACAAATTCAGACGGTCATTGAAATGCACGAAGTTGTTAAAGACAGCGGAGCAGGTCGATTGGCAAGCATCCAAAAAGGAAGAACGAACAGAACGAGCTCTCTAGGATAATTGTTTGTTACGAACCTTCATTATACGTAGCATGAATCTCTATTCTTCGTAAATGCTTGCATTTATTTTATTAATTAATCTACCTATTTTCAAAAAAAAAAACCAGCAAATTTGCCTTGCAGAACATGCATCATACAATTTATCCTCTACGTCATGTAACCATTACCTAGCAAAAAATATCCACATCAGTCAACAAGAATAAATAAATAAAATAATGAAAATTGTTCACCGTTTATACTCGCCAAAGGCAATTACAAAGAGAAAACGAATAGATTGAAACAAATGAGTTAAAATCTCGTTCCTGGATTTTTGAAAAAACGCTCAGACCAGTTAAATTTTATCTTTAGATGGATATTTTCTAAAGTAATTTTCATGTGAATATGTGGGATGATAAAAAAAAAAAGAAACCTTAATGAAACCTCTACTCCAATTTCATGGATTTTTGAAATTGACCTAAAATTTGGATTCCTAGACAAAAATTTTCAGTCTCTCTCCAGTCTCTCAGAGTCTTTCAGCGTCTCTGAGAGCGTCCCTCACAGTCTCTCAATTATTGCCTAGGTGTTTTTTATAGATTTCTCACAGTCTCTGTATACGAGACTCAAACGATAAAATTGTTAATTCAGAGATTCGAGTCTCTCACAGAGACTGAATGAATAAAACTGAAAAATTGACAGACTCGAGTCTCTCGTAGAAAGACTGGGATCTCTGAAATATGTTGAACTTAGATTTTTTTAACCATGTCTATCGCGACACCACTTATTGGGAGATTCGAGTCTCTTGTTCGGAGACTGGATACGAAATGAGGATCTCTCTATGAGCGACTCCAGTCTCTCGTTCATAGACGCTAAACAGTTTGTTTGACAGTCTTTCAACACTCTCTCTCAACGACACCAGAAAGGCACGATGAGAGACGGAGACTCGAGATTTTATCTCGTGATTGTATCTTGTCACAAGTTCTCGACATCCCTGTAAATTAATTTGAGCATATTATAAGCCACATGTATCCATGTTTCACTCAAATCACTGTTATTGTGTAATGAAGGTAAAAAAAATATTTTTTGTGTGATGTAACTACAAATTTTTCCCTTTAATTGTGCTATAAGATATTGCTTCTTGCCAAATTCCATGATATAGGTCAACGGCAAGTACACAATACGTTTTGATTCCCTTGAGGGTGTTAAAATATACGCCATAGAAGGCCGATCTTTTGATTGCGTTGACTTAGAAGTTTGTTTTTTCACAGCTCCAAGGGATTGCAAGCCTACGTATTTGATATTAATTTCAACTTGATACCCCACGCGTTTCCGAGAAAAAGGGTAAATGGAAAAAGTACCGGACTACTTAGGATTTTAAAGAACGACCCACAGATAAAAAGTAATTACAACAAACAATTACCTACTATTCACAATAAAATGGCGTTGGAAAAAACAGTAAACAATGCAAAAAATATAGAAAGACTATAAAAACGATTGTAGGGAATTGAAAAGCTTATAATACCGAGCCCTTGGCCAACCTAACCGATACATTTTTTACCGAAAAAAGCGTGGAAAACCATTAAAACCACGTCTTTTTTGAAAATGGATCTTCCATATGAAGTTATAATTTCTGCCTTGCATAACGTATCAGCAGAGACTTTGTAAATCATTTGAACAAAAACTACATTTAACTACTGCAGTATATATAGTTTGATGAAGTCGATTTTCATATAAACACTGGCAAATTCCGCAAAAAGGATTAAACTACTTCAAATGGTATTAAAATGTAGGTATCTTGTTGTCGCCATAATTTGACGACTTTATTTGTATTAGGGGCCACTTTTTAGGATTACGCAAATGTAATTGTTGGTTGATATAAAACTGAACTTGGTTTTAACTATTTATTAACAACACTTAACTAAGGATTAACAACACTTTAACAAAAACAAATTGATAACAAAATACTTAATTTATGTAGAGTGGGCTGTATAAAATTGAAATGAATGAAAATATAACACGAACGAAAAGAGCGAATGATTGATTAGATTGAAGATCAATTTGCAACTGTCTGGAAGAATAACTGAACTCATGAAAATAAGAAAAATAGAAAAGTGGAGAAAATAGTTTGGGGGTGGAATTAAATTCAAATTTGAAAAGGTTGATTGGTTGAAGAAAAAGTAGAAGATCGTGATTTGTTATGAAAGGAAGACAGAGATACAGAGGGGTTGAAAGATAGTGGGAGTANTAATCCATTAATCAATAATAAATAAATTGAGTGTTCAAAAGTGTTTTTTTTAAAAGCTTAAGGAATAGTACCGGCCTTTAACTATAGTCCGCAATAAAACTGTCGCATTTACTTACTTCTTTCAACTTACTAACTATAGACTGGAAAGGTTGCCGGCTACTTTTGTTTACGACAGACGTTGTAGGGAATATCGTAAACATAAAAGAGAGATGTCAGGTAGGAATTGCAGTTGACAGTAAGTAAGAAAAGGGAATAACATTACACCAATTAATGTGTAACGGAAAGGGATGCAGACAATCAGAATTTAAGCATGTTGCCAGCATCGGACTTTAAAGAAAGTTCAACATTCTCAGGAATTTAGGAATGCAGAGACGCTTGTTTAAGGTTATAATTCCAACCAGTTAGTTAAAAAGCCGACCCTGACCTTTTGCGTACCTAAGCAACCGCTAACCACAGCACCACTTACTATTATTCGGTTATCTCTTTTCACCTTGTCGGTACTACTCGTGACTCGTGAAGCATTTCCTAACATAGCAAGGGCGTGTTCGAACGCAATAAATGACTGCAGTCCCAAGTGAAAAACAGGGAAAATGATACGTCCATTCTCAGAGGCAATTTATTGCAAAATTTGCCAATTTTGATCGTTCCAACTATATGTACAATTTGATGTAAACATACCAAATTTCCAATAACTATTGGCATATTTAATTATCTAATAGACAATTTTTATGTAAGATTGTAGAATTTGATGATTAAAGCTACCTACCTGTAACAACCAATTGCACATAAAATTTGTAAAAATTTACGATTCATTTGTAATTAACGATCAGCATTAGACAGAAATTCAATTCACGGTAGGTATACCAGTGTACGGTAATAATACCCTTCCCTTATTAT